GTTTACATAGTTATCAGTTTGTTGTTAATTTTTTTTTTAAATTGCATTCACAAGCTTAAACTGGCTTGATTAGTATGACATCCTCATAAAACATCCAGAATACTTATATTACAACATGGGATCTGTGTAGATTATTAAAGAGCAATTGGTCCAAAGTATCAGAGAAACGAGATAAGCTAGGTTGTTACACCACTTTAATTCTTACACATGTATCTTAGTTTTCTTAGTCCCACATTAAGAATGAGTTGCTCAAAGTAGAAGAGAGACTTATTACTAGACAAGAAAGAGGGAAGCAGGGTAGAGAGGAAGGTGTAAAGGAAGGTTATAAAGAGGATGTATATGGTGAAAATTGTCACCTGCATGCATAAAACACCACATAAAAACCCACTATTTTGTAAAATCTACAGACACTAATAAAAATAAAATATATTTTTAGAAGAATTAACTTCATTACTTCAAACATGAATGTCTGTGGCCATCTCTATATACCATATTTATGAACCATAGTAGGTCACTGCAATAAGATTAATGGAAGGATTACTGTTACAAAAGTATATTCTAAGGCCTGATGCCTATCCATCTTCACCTAAGTATTAGTTTTGCCCAAAAAAACCTCCTAAGATAAATGGAAATTTAGTTACGTATTTTACTATCACAAATAAACTACAGGCCATTACTGTGTTCCTACAATGTGTTATACACTAATCTTGTAATAATAGACAGTAATATTAGCTTTTGGCATTCCAATATCTGGCATACTGCCAAAGACCTACCATTAATCTCCTACCTCTAACTGTTGCATCTCCTCCCATTGTTTTATATATTATCTAGAGATTTTTATCAGAAAGACTCAGTTGACTCATGTCTTTCCTCTTAAAATTTTTTCAGAGAATCTGACTGTAATGAGAAATACAGCCAGATGAGAAATGGCAGAATAAAGACTGATAACAAGATAGCAGCACCAGAAGCTGGAATGGGGACACGTGGAAAACAATTTATTGAGGAAAAAAAGTAGATCTCCAGGAATTAAGGAGGAGCCAACAGGAAAAGTGGAAACTACAGTGACTCTGGGGAAACTGAAAAAAATTCAGACGAAAGAATGCTACCAAAGCAGTCTGGAACACAAATCCCAGCACCTGGGGAGGACAGCCTGGCTCCAGTAAGCCCAGAGAGCTCGGAAGCTCCGAGCACACACAACAGACCAGGCCAGCAATGCTAGCTCCAAGGAAAGCCCAGTTATAAACTACAAAAAACAGCATGGACTTTTACTCTGAAAGTAACAATTTCTGTACAGCAGGCAAGAGTTGGAGCAGAAATCCTGTGCACGGCCTACAATACTGGAGAAGGTTTAATCTCGAGCAATTTTGGGAAGAGGTTAATTGCTTAAGAATGAGCTACAGAAAACTATACTTTTGGCTTCCCAAGGTCACTTCACCACAGTGACTAAGTAAGAGATGGCTGCAAGTTACAGCAGACACACTGAACACTTTAAGCCTAGGCTGTGAAGGACATGCAGGTCCTGTCCTTCGTGGTGAGAAGCCAGGCCAGTTGTGTGGGGTATTTTGGGAAGGCGAGTTCTGAAATTCCTCACATAGAGACCAACAGACCACTTGACTCCCTGCCCTGTTGCCTATACCCAGCGCACAGTCTGTTTTCCCATCTACCAACTTGATCCGGGATACCCCTCACCTTGGGCCATTTCTACAGTCTGGTTTGTACAGACAGAGGGGTGTCTGAAGCAGAGGGACATCTCACAAACCACCGGTCCATAAAGCTAGACAGCAAAAACAGTGGCCTACAAAAGGGACACAGAGGGACCTAGAGAGCCATGGAAACTGGCAGTGACTGGAGAGAATACAGCCCTAGAAAAGACACCATTCATTGACCATGCCCAGCAGGAAAAGCAGGACAGGACTCAGTACTCACAAACAAAAACAGGAGTGTAACAACAAAGTAAGAGATAATAGTGACCTACTATCCAGCCCCTATATACAGGAGGTGCCAATACTGAAGATCATGGAAAGAAACCAGTCATTCAAAAGGACAGAAGAATGTTTTGCACATATTTCTCTTTTCTTCATTGTTTTTTGGGGGAGATTTTGCTTTTTCTTACTATTTTTGTTGTTCTTATTTTTTCTTTGTTTTTGCTTATTGCTGTTTCCTGTCACTATTAGCTGCTTCTACTGTCTTTTACTCCTCAATAACATTCTTTGCCTCACTTTTCCTTCTTCCTTCACGTATATCTTTTATTTTTCAAATTTTGCTTCTTACATTTTCCACTTCCCCTCTATTTATATTAGTATTATAATTAAGCTGTATTACAATGATACACACTGTGTTCACTATTGTGATTATTTTAGTACTGTGTTACAAAATTTTGTTTTATTTTTTCACAAAATTAAAACAGAACAACTACTGTGGAAATAATATATTCACTAATAGGTTTGTTATGGCTTTTATCTATGTGTCCCCTCAAAGCCTCCTGTGGTCATAGGTGGGGTTTTTGGAGAGGTAGCTGAATCTAAAGTGTGTGATGCCGGTATTAAAGGTGTATGATCATAAATCAGTACACTGACTACTTTGGCACACACCCTAAACTGGATAGCCTAGATAGAATGTAAAAGGGGCAGAGAGAAGCTGGTATTGTTGCTTGTCTCTTCCTTGCTTTTGCTGTCTTCTCCCCGTCATGAACTGTTTCTGTCCATGATCCCTCTCTGCCATACCAACCTGCCGCGGAGTGAGCCAACCATGGATTGAAACCTCTGCAAAGTGTAAACCAAATAAATCTTTTTTCTTTTCACTCTGGATAGCGGGTATTTTGTCTCAGAAACAAGAAAAGTAACACGACAGAATTTTGGCACCAAGAATGGGGTCACTGCTGTGACTGCACCTGACCATGTGGTTCAGAAGTCTTTGGAACTGGCTTATGGGAAGGGTATGGCTGGTTCAGAAATGCTGACCCAAAAAGCAGACCTGTAATGCCTGAGAATGTACTTAATGGAAGATTCTTGTCTTAGCTGAGAGACTAGAATTCTGATAGAAGTGCTGCTGGTGAAGGCAAGTCTTGAAAGATTTCTGCTCAGAAGAAGGACTGAACTGGCTCTTGGACTTCTAGAACACATGTGTTATGCCTTGACATAAACCTTGTCTGCATTTTGGTCTTGTGTAGAGACTTTGCCTGAGACTGCGATTAAGGATGGTGGACTAATTTATCTTGCAGAAGAAATTTCAAGCCAATCTAATGTTGAGGCTGTGGCGTGGCTGCTGCAGGGGGCTTTTAAGCCAGAACTATGTTGAAAATCGAGAGCAAAAAGATCAGCAGAATGATTTTAAAGGGTTTGTGTTTGGCCAGAAAGGAAGTTCCAGTAAAGTTGCAGCCCACAAAGATGGAACAAAGGAGAAATTGGTTGCTGAAAAGACTAGCAAGAAAAAGCCAAGTATCTCAGAATAGGCTGATGGAAAAGAGGGCCTGAGGACATCGCAAGAAACAGCCGGACACCAGCCACTGCAGCTCCAAGGCTGCAAAGGTCCATAACTTGTGGGTTTTCTTTTTTACATTTCTTCTGATAAGTAGCATAATGCCTTGCTTTCGACATAACAGGAAATTGAAATTTATTATATTTTATGAAAAATACTCAGGAAAATTCTGAGTGAGTTGTTGCTGTTTACAAAAAAGTAGTTAAAAACTGAAAACTAAGGAAAAATCCAACTATTACCACTGATAGTCAAAATGAAAACTAAACACTTTGTAGTACTGTAGATTCAACCCAGAGGCTCTGTACTGAGCTATATCTCCAGCCTTTTTTATTTTTTATTTTGATATATAGTCTCCCCAATTTGCCCAGGCAGGATTCAAATTTGCAATCCTCTTGCCTCAGCCTCCCAGGGTGCTAAGATTATAGGCAAACATCACTATGCTTGGCTGCAACTGAAACTTCTTTAAAACAAATAACAGCTTCTAGATTACATATAAAATTGTAAAATATGTTACCTTACTGACATGCTTGGAATAGTCAGTATAGTTCAAATATACCTATCACATGATTTACTAATGGGTTTTATAAAGCCAAATGTTTCAAAAGTAATGTGAAGATGGGCATGTGGGCTCTTTCTACACAGTACATTCTATTATAGTGTTCATAGTTGGATCATTGTGTTTGGCATTCTGAAATTTCCCTTCTGTTTATTAATAACAGTGGCATCTAGTCTACTCTCTGGACTTTATGTTTTGCAACAGGTCTCTATTCTGTATGCCTTCTGTGGTAAGTGTATATGCTTTTCACAGGAATGAGAGGCTAGTACTTCTAAGGAGAGCAAGGGGCTACTAGGTATATGCCTTCTGTGTTTCTAAGTTGTGCTCACTTACTGATTATCTCCTTATTAGGATCTATTGACCTAAGGAGCATTTAATTCGCCTATAATTAGGACAACTTATTCCCTGATGAAACAGACCCCTTCGGTCTAGCTATTATCTTCTATCACTTCTCACCTTCCTCCTTTCAAGTGCCTGTAGGAATACATACCAACCCATTCTCAAGCAAGTTACCTGTTCTAAGAACTTAAGAAAAGTTTGTACAAATAAATGCTTTCAGAGGTAAAGGGAGAAGACATAACACATATGAAGTCTATTTTTCCTATATCAGTTAAATGCATGTAGCTATTTTATAAAAGCTTCTAACGGAGTGCTACTGGGTTCACAAATTGGTATAAGTATTTGACAATATTTATCAAATGTAAATACTCTTGAGTAAGTGTTTCTACTTTTAGGAATTTGTGCTACAAATAAAGTTGAATAATTAGTCAAAATAATACAATATGATGCATAAAATATATGCCCCAAAGCTCTGGTTACAACATTTAGAAAGTTAATGACTGAAATGAAAAGCTAAATTTCCCTCTGGGTCACTTATTTGAAAGACCTATGAATAGCACTCCGTTTTCTTCCCATCACATTTCTAATAGTTTGGCAGTAAACAATATTTTGTCAATGGATTCAATACCTTTGAGTATTCCACGTTTCAAGGGGCACACATTTATAACATATGAAACTGAACTATCTGGATCTACTGTGATATGTGGATCGCCCGACACTATTGGAAGGTCTGAAGATACCTAGAACATAGAATTGGAGAACAAGAATTACATAATACCATATAAAATGCTTTTCTATGTCTTGAACATGTTAAAATATGTGAAATGAATGCTAAGTTCACATTTACTGATGTTTAGTTTACATATTTCCATTAAAATTATTCACTTTTAAATGAAAAGCAAGCCACAAAAATATTACACACAGTAAAGTCTGAGAAATGACCTATAAAAGTAAAACAAAAAAATCACTCTTTTTTTTGGTACCAGGAATTGAATTCAGGACCCTTGTACTTGCCAGGCAGATGCCGCGCCACTAAGCTACATTCTGGGCCCCAAGAGATCACTCTTACAGAAAAACAATAACTATTTTCTGTCACTACTTGAATCAAGACCATTGATGTTTGGGAAATATGAATATTATTTACAGGTCATTTTCAATTTCTTTTATTCAATTCAATGTACAAGAGCAAAACAATTTTAATGAATTTGTACATCAGATTTTTAATTTTTATTAATTAAGTTTAATGGTACATTTTAGATATACATAATGATCACATTCATCACAGGAAATTTGTAACTGTACATGATATATTTTTATTCTTTCTTTTCCTTTCCCTTACTCTTCCTTCAACCCTTCTTCCCTGTTTATTTACAAAAGCTTTTGTTTCCATTCTTTCCTTCTTTTCTCACTTTCTTCTTTTGCCTTCCTTTCTTTCCCCCTCACCCCTCCCTAGTTTCCCCTGCCATTTGAACATTTTCTTCCTATTTCACAACGTCTATTATAATTTTGGTCTTTATTTACACTTTTGGTTTCTCAGGCCAGAGAAACAGTCCAGTATTTACACATGTATGTCCGATTTACTTCACTAAAGAGTATGTTTTCAAGGTGCATCCCTTTAGCTAGAAATGTCTCAAGTTTATCCTTCTTTATAGCAGAGTAGTACTCCACTGTATATAGAAAAAACTCCACATCTTCTTTATCCATTTGACAGTTGATGGGCATTTAGGCTGTTTTCAAGATTTAGCTATTACTAACTGTGCCTCTATAAACATGAGTGTGCATATATCGCTATGGTATGATGCTTTTAAATTCTTTCAGGAAGATACCAAGGAAAGGACTAGTTAGGTTGAATGGAACCTGTAGTGTTAGTCTTTTGAAGAATCACCACACTGATTTTCACAGTGGTTGCACCAGTCTACACTCCCACCAACAGTGGAGAAGAGTTCCTTTTTCCCTACAGACGCCAGCATTTGTTATTGGTTGATTTCTTAATAATAGCCACTCTTTCTGCAGTGAGATGAAATCTCAGAATCATTTTAATTTTCATCTCTCGAATCACTAGTGATGTACATCAGTTTTAGAACTGCATATAAAGAATATTTATACAGCATGTGACCACAACCCAGGCTAAATACATCTTTCACTTTTTATCGGTGCATATATCATGTCCTTCACACAGTACTGTCAAACACCTCTATAGTTTGTGTGTCTGTACATCTTCCTATTATGGAAAATTCTTTGAAATGAAATCATACAGTATGTGGTAGTTAATCACTGGCTGTTGAAACATAACATACTGGGTTTTTTTTTTTATTCTTATCTAGGTTTAGTTGACAAACTTTCCATATTTATAGTGTAAAATATGAATTTTTGAAAAGTTTATGTTTTGAGAGAACTGAATGGAGTTAATTAACATACGTTTTACTTCACATAGCTATCATTTCATGGTGAGAATTTTGAAAGTCTACACTTAGCATTTTTAATAATATAATACACTGTTATTAAATATAGTAAAATAGATTCTCTCTGTCTCTGTCTGTGTCTGTCTTTTCCTTTTGGTTTCTGAGACATGGTGCTACTATGTAGCCCAAGCTGGCCTTGAACTCCCAGAGATCCCTCTGCCTCAGCCTCTGAAGTGCTGGTATTCCAGGAGTGTGTCCCCACACCCACCTAAGACAGCTCTCTTTAAATTGTTCTGCCATCTAACTGAAATTTTCTCTGGTTTGACCAACACTTCCCTGTTCTCCTTCCCTCCACTGCAGACTTAAGTAACCATGATTCTAACATCGACTTTGATAAATTCAACCTTTTTAGATGCCACCTATCAATGAGATCACCATGCTATCTGTTTTCCGTGCTTGCCTTTTCACCCAACATAATGTGTTTCAGAGTCATCTATGTTGTTACAAATAAGAGTGTTTTGTTCTCTTGAGGCTAAATAGGACTCCATTATATAAGTACATTACATTTCCTTTGTTAATTCATCTGATGATGGATATGTACATTGATTTTTTTATCTCAGTTATTATGAATAATTCTATAAGGAATTCACAAGTACAGATACCTCTTTGATATACTGATTTAATTTCCTTTGTATATATACTCAGAAGTAAAATTATTGAATCACAAGCTAGTTTTATTTTTTAATTTTTACAGAAGGCACCATACTGTCTTCCATAATGGCTGTACCTACAAACAGTGTGTGCGAGTCTTCTTTTCTTCATTATTGCCAATACTTGTTTTGGAATTCCTTTTTATAATCACCTTCAGGTAATCTAATAATGCAGGAAGTTCACAGATCACCAATACCCATGGTAATGCAACTGCATATATTCTACCTTGATGCATAACCCTTTTCATATGTTGCTGGGCTAAGTTTGTTAGTATTTTATTGAGCTTCAGTCTATCTGTAATCCTAGGCAATACTGGTCGGTAGTTTCCTTTTCCCAGGTTACCTTTGTCTGAACTTGGTGTCAGTGTAATAATTTTGGTCACACAATTAGAGTCAGAAAGTGTTTTCCCCTCTTCTATTTTTTGGAAGTGTGTTGCCTCTAGGTAGCTTAGAAGTGGAACATGTTCAGTCTGTTATTTGATTTGAGGGCTGCATCAATTTATGGTAAGAAAACTTAAATCTTCCATTTTTAAACCAATTTTTCTGTATCTTTTCTATTGGTACATATTTCCAATACATAATAATTACATCCCCTGGGAGTTGGTACATATACAAATCACATCTTAATTTTTTATTGTAATCCCCTTCTCCACCCCTCTCCTAGCCTCCTTCCTCCTTCCGTTTACTAGTTCCCTGCCCTTTTATGAAAGTCTTATCTTCCTGTTTCTATTAACTGCCTTTTATTTTACTCTTACATTTATTTATGCTTTGAGTTTTTCCTATAAATAGACCATGGAATATTGAGGCTTGCATGTCTTGTTTATTTCATTTAAACTTCTGGTCTCAAGGTGCTCCATTTTCCAATGAATGAATCAAATTTATCTGCTTTAAGGCAGAACAGAGCTCCATTTTATATGCATACCAACTTTTTTTCACTTTACTTTGTTCTTTACTTTACCCTTCAGTTTTCTCATGTGAGAGAAGCCATAGGAATTTAAACTTGAGTATCTGATTATATTTTATATCACTTTTGTTCCTATAATCCTCTATTTCTGCTAGATTTTAAGTTAGATATTTTCTACTGTGTCCTTTTAATAGTTTTTTAATTGCTTTATACTATTTTTGAGTTATTTTTATGTCGTTCTAGGAATTATATTATTTTAAAATAATACAAAAGAATAAAATAATATACTTTTGATTAATTTTAATTAAATTCTGATTGTACACACAAGCTTTGCTTTAATATTCTCCATCCTTTCTCTCTCATCTGTTACTTTTTTTTCTTTGTCTTGTTTTCCTGATTCAGTATGCAGTTCAGGCTGGCCTGGAACTCACGGAAATCCTCCTGCCTCAGACTCCCAAGGACTAAGATTACAGCCTAGTACCACCACACCTGGCAATGTTACTATTTTCATCCCTAATACATGTTTATACATTTAAACCTATCAACATAGAATAATTGATTTTTTGTTTTCTTTTAAATTATATAGTACACAAAGGACTACAAAGAGCGCATACTTATTTTGTATATTCTATTTAGCTATGTAGTCATCTTTATTAGTATGGATTTCAGATGGATTTGAGTTCCCCTTCTACACTTTTACTTCATGTTCATGGACTTCCTCTAGTATTCCATGCACAGATGATGTTATAAGACCAATATACTCGGTTTTGGTTTATCTTGGAATATTTTAATTGCTCTTTTACTATTTAAGCATAGTTTTCTTGTACATAAAATTCCTGTTTGCAGGATTTTTCTTTCAGCATTTAAAAGTATCAACCCATGTCTTCCAGTCTCCATAGTTTCTCATGAAAAAAATGTGTTAACTTCATTAAAAATCTCTTATGCTTTTAAACACTTCATTCTCTTTTGACAGTTCTGTAGTTTCCTTTGTCTTTTGAATGTTTCACTATAATGTATCTAAGTGCGTATGCCTTTGACCTTAGATATGTAGAATTTTCAACTCTTTTCCATATTCTTCCACTTTGATAATATGCCACCAAATTAAGTTCATTACATTCCTTTCAGATCTTTCCCTTTCTCAATTTTTCATTGCTGCTAGCGTATCCTAGAGGTTTAAAGACTAAGATTTTGGTTAAAGGTAAGCAGCTTCTCTGGCTGAGAGTATAAAGTGGCACCCCTTAGCTTGAAGATAAAGAGGATTCAACACTTCCAGCCCCCTGGGCCCAAGCTTGATTAAAATTACAGATGAATATTTCCTGGTTTGTTTTACCCTTTCTCTATATTGGAGTGCTTCTGTGTGTTGGGATGGATGCTAGCTGTCCCCCAAATTTGGTAAAATTGGAAATAAACTCATGTTTCCATTGTTACAGATTTCCACTGTACTGTTAGTTGCAAGTGGGCAAAGAAGGGCAGAAACCTAGAGATCCAGGGTCCACATCCAGGCCTTACTCTTCCCTACTGGTAACAAAACTGTAACCAGAGCGAAGGTCTGTACTGTTCATGGTTATCCCCCCAAAACACAGGAGACCATTTATTTTGATGAAAAAAATATATTCAAATTACCTACAAAATGACAAGAAGGTCTTTGCCTCAAATTTCTTTCTCACTATGTCCAAGTGTGCAAAGCTTTCTACGGCAAGTAAGATGGGGAAGAGCACAGTGAGACAACAGATAAGGAAATCACCTTCATGTTCATTTCCTGGCTATTCCTGGTTCCCTTCCTTCCTTGCGGAAGAGAAACACACCTGACTCTCCGGGGCCAGCATCTCTACATTCCTTTCAGACAAAGGACCAAGGGGAGGTGTTATGCCCATTAAACTGAGGGGTTGTGCTGGTCTATGGTAAACCTCAGTAAGGAGGTTCTTGTTTATTTTTTCTACTTCTAACGTATAATTGATAAAATCTGTACATATTTAAGGTATAAAATTTGATCATTTGATATGTGTATACATTGTAAAATGGTCACCATAATCAATTTAATTAACAAATCTATGCCGGGCATGGTGGCACATGCCTGTATTCCCAGCACTCGGGAGGCTGAGGAAGGAGGTTCATTGAGAGTTCGAGGCCAGCCTGGGCTACAAAGTGAGCTCAAGGTCAGCCTGAACTGCATAGTGACACCCTGTCTCAAAAAAACAAACAAAAACAAAAACAAGAGCAAATCTATCAACTCTCCTAATTACCATATTTGATGTCTATGATGAAAACACTTAAGATCTCATGTCTTAGCAAATTATAATATACAGCATTATTAACTATAGTCACCCAGATGTACATAAGAGCCCTGAACATCCTCCCATTCTTTTCTCAGCCTCTGACTTATTTTATTTAGCAAAATGTCATCCAGGTGATCCATGCTATGGCAAACAGTAGGACCTTTGTGGCTGTATAATATTCTGTGTCACACACACAGATGATATATTCTGTGCATCAAATCATCTACTGATGAGCACTTAAGAATTTTTTATTTTGTCTGTTGTGAATAATTTTGCAATAAATATGAGAGTGGAGTTCTCTCAGGGTAATTATTTTATTTATAATGGAACTACAAAAGACCATGAATAGGCAAAGCAATCTTGAGAAGTAAGAAAAATCCTCAAAGAAAACATAGTGGGAAAGTTCTTTGACATTGTTCTTGATAATGAATTACTGGATATGGCACTAAAATCAGAGAAACAAAAGAAACATAAAATGGGACCTAATCAAATTCAGAAAGCTTCTCTATAGCAAATGGAACAAACAATAAAATGAAACAGCAACCTGTGAACTGGGAGAAAAAATTTACAATCATGTATCAGAGAGTATATAAAATATTTAGTAAAGAATACATCCAAACTCAATAACAAAAAACCAAGTAACTCAATTTAGAAAGGAGCAAGGAACCTTAAAAGAAGGTATTGCAAAGAAGACAGGAACAAGGGACATATGAAAAAGTGATCCACACACCTTTTTGCTAAGATAGCTTTGAAAGCAAGAAGGAAATTCCTGCTTTTCCTAAGGCTGAATCCAAAGCAAGTGATTTAAAGGCCAAGAAAATGGTACCAAACAGCACTGGCAGCCACACAAAAAAGTCTTTACATCACCCACTTGCTGGCAACCCAAGATACTACACCTCCAGAGGTAATCAAAATATCCTTGAAAGAGGACTCTCAAGCGAAATACGATTGACTACTATGTCCTCATCAAGTTCCCACTGACCACTGAATCTTCCATGAAGAAGACAGAAGACAACGATATACTCATATTCATTGTGGATGTCAAGATTAAACACCACCAGACCAAGTAAGTTGTGAAGAAGCTTATACACTAATGGAGCCAAGGTCAATAATCAAAGCAGGCCACAGGTAAGGAAGGCATATGTGTGGTTGTCTCCTGATCACGATGCTTTGTGAGATGCCAAAAAAATTTGGGACTTTCTAAACTAAGTCTAGCTAGAGAATCCTAACTGCACATTTTTTTTCACCATAGAAAGTACTCAACACCAATAATAATCAGGAAATTGCAAGTGAAAACCACAAGAAGGTACGCTAAGAGTTCTCTGTAAGACTCAGAGGCGACATTGCACTTGGACTTTTCAGCATTGTGGCAAATGTTAAGACTTTGTCAATTCTTAGATATGGACTAAGTGCAATTTCTGAAATGAGAGAGAAATGAGTGTTAGGGGGACCAGGGGTGGAAAGTCACAGTTTAGATCTAAAATGTCCCCCAAAGTCTCCAGTGTTTGTAAGGTGCTTGAATCACAGGGCCACTATGCTCAAATTAGATTCATCAGCTAGTGAGTTCAAAGCAAATTTGTTGTTAGTAGATAGGACCTGGTTAGATGTGGGTCACTGGGGATGTGACCTGGAAAGGTCTATTTTTTTTCCCTCAGCGATACTATCTCTTTCACCTTGGTTTCTGGCTGTCATGAGGTGAGCGCCTTTCCTCCACCATTATACCATTTCTCAATTGGACCCATCCAAACTTAGGCTGACTCCTCTAAAATCCAGGAATCAAAATAAAGCTGTCTTTCTTTAAATTGTGGGATTTGGGTATTTTTTCCTAAAGATGGGGAAGTAACTGATATATTTTCTTTTTCTTTTAACTGCCACTCATTACATTCTTATCTGCTCAGTAAACAAATCTTTCTCCAAATACTATTACGTACTGAATAGTATAATTTATGCTAGGTACAAAAATGTGGATGTGGATTGTCCTGTTCTCCAAATTAGTCATCTGATGGGAATAACAAACAGATAATGACAACAGGAAGTACTAGGTGTGATGGTGAGATATGTACAAAATTGTGTATTATTTATGTATATACAGAAGAATATTGGAAAAAGTGGTTCTAAGCTTTGTTCTAAAAAATGATAAGGAGTTAGACACAGATATATGGAAGATAAGTGTCTTTGTTACTTCCTCATTGCCGTAGCAAAATACCCAACACCACAACAAATGAAAGGAGGCAGGGTTTATTTTAGCTCACAATTTGTAGAGGTTTCACTTTACATTTTCTGAATCCAAGGCAGAGTGGCATGGCAAAGGAGAAACTGTCTGTGCCAGAGAGGGCAGAACACAGTAGCAGTAGCAGCAAGCCTTCCTTTCTCTTTATATTCTATTTAGGTTACAAAGCTATTGGATTGTGCCACACACCTCCAGGGTGGGGCCTCCAGTTTCAGAAAATCCATCCAATCACACCCACAACTATGCTAATCCAATCATTGGACTGATCCAATTATCACACATCCTAATCCAGTATCACACCCATGATCTAGCAATTTCCCCAAAGCCCCACATAGGAGTGCGTAAGGCTTGGGGAGACATCTAGATACGGGCATAACAATATGGAATTTGGCAGAAAATTCCAGGTAGCAGGAAAAGAACATACTGTTTACAAAGGCTTCAGTGTTGTTAGAGCTACAGGTGGCAAGAGATAAAGCTGAACAGATCAGCAAGGACAAGCGACTGAAGGACAGAAAAAGCTACTTTGGGGAAAATGGACTTAACTCTGCAGGCAAGACCTGACATTGAAACTTTTTATAGCTAGAAATGAGATGAGGAAATTTTCATTTAGAGTATACACTCCATTTGTAATCTAATGAGGAAAGAAGAAAATCAAGATGCATACAATTTAAGGGTACAGCAAAAGTTGGGGATAAGTACAGAGAACTTCCATACTTCTGCAGTCAACTTTAAAGTTGAATACAGACATCTATGTTGGGTACTCGGGTAGACAGTTGAACCTTCTTTTGAGGACTGTATTGGGCAGAGAATTATTTGTAGATATGGATGGAAGTGAGAGGTGACTTTTTGGTGCCAGTGTTTAAATACAGAGCCTTGCACTTGCTAAGCATGTGCTCTGCCATTGTGCCTCCATGCCATCCCAGAAAATTTTACTAAAGAATGGATTAAACAAATAAAAGGAGGAGAGAAAAGCACAAAACTTTGTAAAAAATAATTGTTTAAATGATTACGCATTTTATTCACATTTCTACTACTATTGACATTCGGTGAATGATCGTGTATCCAGTGTGGGAATATGAAACTTTAACATAAAAGTTAGATTTTCTTTTCTAGAGAAAAGTGGCCTCTTCTTTTATAGATAAGGAGCTTCCCTAAACTTCCTTCTGTAGAATGGCATAACCGTCAACTCATTTTCTCCGCATAAACAAAAAAAATAAAGAGAATATGCAGATGCTGGCCTTAGGAGCTCAGGGCCCAGGGTCCTTTCTAAAGGAAAGGGGATGAGCAAGAGGAAGCTGGCTGAGAGAGTAAGCAGGGCTGCAGATGCGTTTTGTCTCACTGTATTCCTCCTCCACTCTCTTCCTTGCTTCTAAAAGGATTCTGCATACCTGACACTATGAGACGGTGACCTACAGCAAAAGAGCCCCTCCTTCTCTGAGCTAGCTTTGCATAAAGCCTTTTTCCTTTCACCCAAATAAATGGCCTCTTCTGTATGGTCAGCAGCTAGAAAATGGACCTAAGCCTATGGAATTGAGTGACTAGTAGTAATAGGTCATACTTTTGAAATCTTCCTGGACCTATAGTTCTTGTCTTAAAAATTCAGAATCATTTCTAAATTTTTTGAAAATATGTTTTAGTGTTATGTACAATTTCTTGAAGCAAAAAACACATGACTCAAGGTAGATATTAATGTGTTTATAGTTATATACCAGTAATTGAATGTAAATATATTTCTTGTTAATTCCACTTGGTAATTGAAATTAAGTTTAATAGCTGTTACATTAATAAAAGGTAAAATTATAAAAATGTCCTTTTGTGTCATTCCTTCAGCACATTAAGTAAAATTAAATGCATTAAAATTTTTATATAATTGCTCATATCACATACTTCAATATATATGCAAAAGAAAACACTTTCAAAATAAAAAGCATCTTACCTTAAATGTTAAAATAGTCATTGAATAATTAGGCACTATTATGGTTTTACTTGCCACATCCCCCACTTTGCAATCCACAGTGATGGTTCCAAAAGCCAGGGGTTTTTTCCCAATCCCTTTTATGTTGATGATATGCTCCATACTGTCCACTTCATTTTTCACAGTAAGTTTACCCTAGGACAAACCACACGAATTTCAGCTCTGTACTGGGCATAGTTCAATGTCAAACAACCTCTGCCATGATATTCATTCTGAGTCTAGTCAAATGAGCTTGTAAACAGGTATTAGTCATTGACTTTTCAAGCTCACATATCAACGTTTCTACTGAATAAATGGCTGGTGAAAATCTCATACTTCTCGCTTTCTCTAAATTATACAGTATCTCGACACATTCTCATATATAACAATTATGTGTGTTTACTTACTTGTCAAAAATTATTGCCTTAGTTAAGTGTGGTGGTGTATGCTTGCAATCCCAGCACTCTGGGAGTCTGAGGCAGAAGGACCACAAGTTCCAGCCCAACCTGAGCAACTTAGCAACTTAGCCAAGATGCTGTCTCAAAAATTAAAAGGTAAGGGGCTGCAGACATAGTTCAAGGAGAAGGCCCTGGGTTCAATCCCTGGTATACGCCCTCATACTTATTGCCTTAAGAACATATTTTTGAGGTAGTGATTTGTGTAATGAATAGGAACAAAGGACAAATAATGGTTATGTTATTCAGTACATAGTATAAAAATAATCCAATTATAACAACAATGTGACTTCCAAAACATTTATCCCTCAAATTAAAACTGTTTATTTAAATTTCAAGGAAAAATTCTTAACTTTATGGAAAATGTAAATTTTCATGATAAAGTTATCAAATAAAATACATTAACATCACACATTCACTTATTTACATATTAGTACTGGGAAAAAGAATCAGTGAGTTCTTACCATAATTTCACACTCTGAAATCGGTTTGAATGTGAGAGGGTATTGCACAGTTTCACCTGGTCTTATATGTAAAATAGCAGGTCCATAGAACCATTTTGCTTCTATTTTAACTTGACATTTCCACTCTTTCTTTGTTTCATTATGCTACAGATGAAAAGAAAAAAGGTACAAAAATGTCAGAGGGATGGCGTTGATAAAAGTTGAGTTACATATAAATTCTTGGTACTTTCAGTGAAAATATGTATTGCATTTTTATTATATTAATATTCCAATATTAAAATCATATATTTAAAGAATGACTGCTAAAAATGCGAACAAAAGCCCAAAGAATAACTATATGTTCTTTCTGTGTCATATAGGAACATTATTTGATGGATCTGTTAAGGATTACTTAATAAATAGATAAATATTCCTTGGTTTAAATTACTACCTACTGTTATGATGGCAATATAGTCCTGGTGGACACAATTTTGCTTAACTAAGAGAAGTAAAATGTGCTCTAATTCATATATTTCTCAGATAACAAAGATGACATATTTTATCAGAGCAGATTGCCCTCAGTGTGATTTTTGTTATATCTTTAATAATTAAACAAACAAAAACCAACTTACCACTTTAAAAACCCACAGCTTCTCACAATTACGTTATCTCCTATGCTATATTATCACACTAATAGGGAGCCAAGCTACTGTCAATCATTGTTCTCAGTGCCTATGAACCCATCTTAGTCAAAAGGTCACAACAGAATTTGGAGCAGAGTGCGTGGGAGGGAGTTCATAACTCTGGGGAAGCCCGGAGGTTATACCTTTCCTTAGGAATTTGAGGATAGGTAAAGGATATTGGAGTTAAATTTTTAAGCAAAGAGATCCATTGAAGTAAATGGTCATCTGAACCACATAATAGTAATTTATACTCAGGAAGAAACTTTGACATCAATGAGGAGAAATAATAGGCAGCACATGATCCAACTGTCAATCTGTAGTAATTCAGGATGACAAGTTTGCAGTCTTTAATTCAGACAGTAGTAGTAGGTAAGGAAACTCAAAATGAGCCTTTCTGAAATACATTTCTTTAAAACATTTCAAGATGGCTAGTCTGAGAAACTGCAGACAAAACAACTCTGAGAGGCTGCTCTTTTATAGAATAAATTTACATCTATAAAGCAATCTACATTAGTAAAATGTGGATGCAAGCAGAGGCTTTCTCAGCTGACATACTTCTTTCTGTCTAGGAACGATCTATTATGGGAGGAAGAGGTTGGAAATTTTACAACTGGCCCGGCGAGAGATTAAAGCAGGTGGTTGTTTCCTGGGAAACTTTATCTACATAACATGGTCAGCCATGTTCACTGTACACCAGCTCTCCTCAACCATCCGCAGCCGGCCACCACTTCCCTCCCACCCAGAAGTCCAAGTTCTGAACCTTTGTTTAGCTGCTAAGCTTTGACTATCTTGCCTTGCCTTCCAGTCCTTTACTGTGTGTATGGCTCTCATGTTTATGCATATTAATAAATGTTATTTTTCCCTGCTAACCTGTCTAATGTTAGGTTATTTCAGACTTAAAGTGTCAAACGTCCAAGAAAAAAGACAGCAAATTTAAAATTTCTTTACATGGAAAGGAACAAATGTACAAAAAAAAGTTTGTACTTACCAATGGAATGTTCTGGATAAGAGGTTCAAATGCTGGTGTCTCGAACGTCAGTGCTGCTTCTGGTTGGTCTTCATTTACCACACCTTCAACGCAATAGACACGCACATCATAGCTTGATATCAACAAAATTTTACAAGGGTAGTGTCCAGGACCAATTGGAAAAAATTTTAAAGGAACCGAAACAAATTCTTCTGCATCTATCAAAATAATTAAAAACAAATATTTTGAGTCTTTTTAAATGTCATGAATCCTAAAATTTATTGTTGCAAGCAACACTCAATATTATTGAATTACATTATATCTTATAATTTAGAATACACTAGGTTTCACTGAAGTAACACACCAAAATCTCCAGGGCTTATTATGCAAGTTTATTTATGAGAGACTATAACTTGCATAGAAAGGAGGAAGGCCTGCTTGATGAAAGTACCCCAGCCCCATGCTCTGATGGATACCACTACCTTCCTGCTGTCTCATCAGGAATACCTCTGCACACTGGTTTACAGGTCAGAGGAAGAGGACTGGGTGGAAGATTGTTTCAGCTTATCAATGTTCACTCCGAAATTTAAAAAAACATTGTATTTAAATGGTAGACAAGAGATACAGGGAGTGTGTCTAAAAGGGAGTTCATAAATGAAGTAGATGTTTAGACGGTTTGAAGAGCATTAACATCTATCACGTTTCTATGACTAAGGAGTGTTCAGTCATACGAACAATCATAATAATTTTTCACTTAATTAGCAGATAAAAATGCTCATTTCCTAACGATCATGGAGTCTACAAGTGAAAGCTAAGGACATTCTTATGTATACATTTTCCAGTTCGTGAAGTGTTAATGTTCAAGAACAATAAATGCAACTTAGTCTCCCTCCTTTACAAGGTTTAGAAAGGAACCTACCAGCTGGGCGTGGTGGTGAATGCCTGTAATCCCAGCACTCGGGAGGCTGAGGCAGGAGGATTGTTGTGAGTTCGAGGCCAGCGTGGGCTACAAAGTGAGCTTAAGGCCAGCCTGAACTGCATAGCAAGACCCTGTCTTAAAAAGACAAAAAAAAAAAAAAA